AAATAGGGTTCACAATTACAAATTAAGCGCAAAGATTTTTGGGGTGTTATATTTGACTTGGAGAAGATCAAGTTGTGCATAATAGGGCAACCGCCACCAGCATATCTTAATTTCATACGTTTAGCCCTCCTTCCATTAGGGTGGTCTTGATCCGATGATCGCTATGTGTTGGATAATGCAGACAGAGAAAATTTTCACTATGCTAGAGATCGATGATGAGCAGAAGGTTCCTCTAGTTGCTTTCATGTTCACCGATGAGGCGAGGACTAGCAGAGATTGAAGAAGGAGACTTTGTCAGTTCTTATTACTTATAATAGATTTATGTATGCCTTCTAAATAACTTTTTCCCAGTCTAGGTTAGAAAGAGGAAGAGTTCCAGGACCTTCGACAAGGCAGTCTTTCTATAAGTAACTATGCTGCTAAGTTTATTCAATTGTCTAGGTTTGAACCTGAGTTGGTGATGCAAACAAGGCTAAAAACACTCAAGATACTCAAAGAGCATCAGAAGGTGACTTGGAGCAAATTTCAAATGATGTAAACACAAATACAGTTCAAAACCTGGAAAGTTTCAGCGGACCAGTAACAAGATCAAAGGCAAAGAAGCTTAATGAGTTGGTCCAAGTTTTTACTCAAAAACATGTGGATGATGGGCTGGCCAATTGTAGAAAGTTCAAATATGAGCTTTTTGAGCAACCCAAATTAGTAACTTTAATTGGATTTAAGTGATTTGGAATAATTTGGGCTTGTTTGAGTCTTATTGATAATGGATGAATAAGCCTTGTGTATAGGCTGGATTAGTTGAGTTGTTTTAAATATTTTGGATTGTTTTATTTTAGTTTGAGTTAATTAATCCCATATAGTTAAGTATAACTCATTTGGACTTAAGTCTTGTATTAGTGTCATTACAAGAATGAGCCCATAACTATATGGTGCCACAAACAATTAGTGGTGTTGGTTAAGAAGATTGGAATTACAACGAGTTACATAACAATTACATGCCTATAATTAGCTAGTTATTGTTGGAGTTACAATGATTATTATCACATAATTAACCTAGTTATTGTGGGAGTTACAATTGTAGTTATTGTATTGTAACTTATCATTGATTTCTTTGGCTATAAATACCAAATGAACTCTTTTTTGTGGACATCAAGAGTTGTAATCAAACATTTCAGAATTGAGTTAAGAGTGTTTTAGCTTTCTTTTCACTTTATGCACAAGGTGTTGATTCGGAATATAATTGTTATCACTTGTATTTCAATTTTGATTTTCTATTTGAATTGTTATTGGTGCTTATTTGAATTGGGTTCAAGGGATATCATTTATCTTTCTTGGGTTCTCTTTAACTTCAACCATTTGGGTGATTGAACAAATTTGATTCTTTTTTTACTTGTGATCTAAATTCCGTTCTAAACCGATTGAAGCGTTCTAAGGTTCAAGCAAGGGTCTTCGGGTTCAGCATCATTTGGTATCAGAGCATTGGTTCACCAAGTAAATTAGTCTATCTTTATTTTGTTGTCTTTATTTTCATTATTTCTTACAAAAAAAAAGAGACAAAATTTGCATTCAGCAAAAAAAAAAAAAATAGATTAGCCTAATTTGCTTAATTGTGCAAAACACATTTCTACATATTCTACCTTGTGTAATTAACACAGCTGCAGTTATTTTCCTTTTATTTATCTCATATAATATTCAAATACATTTAAAATTTAAAAGGAAAATTCGTTTCAAGGCTGTTTGTTTAGTTGAGATTGTTTGTGTAATTTTTGAGGCTGTTTGGAAACAACTCACCTCAATTGAGTTTGTTTTCATCCAAAATTGTTTGTTTCACTTAATTTGAGTATTTTTGGTGATAATTTGTGGTTCTATTAGAGAATTACAAGTTTCATGCATTAAATTCCATATTCACCATTTTTTTTTTCTTGCATATTTAGTTTTCATTTAATATTTCTACCCATTTGCTTCTTATTACATCTTGAGGTAATAATATTGATTCATTGTTGCCTAATTAACATAAAAATCATCATACACTTATTTCTATATCAAGTGTGTGCTCTTCATTGTTTAGATTTTTCTAGTTTCCTTTTAGAATTGAATTCGTATATCTTGTTTCTTTAGGAATTCTTTGTTATCTCTAATTAAAATTGATTACATAGTAATAATTAATTGTTGTTTGAATTGGTCATTTTGTATAAAGTTATAAAAGATTGTTTGAGTGTTAAAAAACAAGAGAGTGTGAGCTCAAAAGAGGGTAAAAGCCAAAATTGAGTGAAACACGAGTGCCCATACTACGAGAGTAAACACGTGAGGGAGTGATTTGTGAGGTTACAATCTATTTTGTTTGTCATTAAAATTTCAGATTTGAAGATGGAGCCACAAGGGAGTGAAAGAACATCAAAAGATCAAGAATTCATCCTCAAAGCAATGCAACAACAATTTGAGAGGATTCAACTAGCTATTGGCAACATGAATGAGAAACTAGAGAAACAACAA